CAAATTTTTGATTTTTTTTTAATTTTCTCGAAAAGTTTTCCTAATTTTCTTTTTCCTGAAGGCGGCCGGCCAGCTGGAGGCCCTGCTGGAGCAGTGCCGCAGCGAGCAGGCTCTGCAGGCCCTCGCCCTGCTGACGGGCGACGCCTGGGAGCTTACGCTGCGCGCCAGGACCACGCTGCTGACGGGGACGGTCAGGAACGACGCCGCCGACCCCGTCGTCAAGGCGCTGTGGGTCGCGCTGGCGGCCAGGGGCGCCCTCGTCGCGCTGACGGCGCCGGCCCCCGCACCACCCGCCGCCGCCGCCGTCACCGGAGCAGCCCGGGCCAACCCCGACGAGCTCGACGCCCACGAGGCCAGCGCCAGTGGGCCCGACGACAAGCTGCTGGAGAAGCGGGATGCCCTGCTAGCCGCGAGAGGGGTGAGTGTACGTGGGTCGCCTCCCGGGCCGTGCGCGCGCGCGTGTGTATTTTTAAAATTTCACCCCCACCCCCTTTCCCCTCCCCTATAACAAATAACGAAAATTCTATAACGGCCGAAAAATTGTGTATAACTCTAAAAAGTTCTTTAAACAGCCAAGTTTTGGCAGTTCGTTTGCACTATAAATAACCCTTCGTGGGCTTTGCGTTCTGCCGCAGGTGAGACGCCTGGTCAAGGTGGTGTGCTCCCGGGACCCCGCCTGGACGCTGATGCTGCTGGAGCGGGCGGGGCCCTCCGTCGAGGAGCTCGGCATGACGTTCCCCCTTGAGGAGCACCTGCGCGCGGCGCACGCCATGCCGCAGCTGCGGAAGCTCTTCATCTGGGGCGACTTCATGAAGATCGAGGCGCAGCCCCCCGTGCTGCCCCCGCTGCCGCCCGCCCACGGCCTGCGCTGGCTGAAGGCGTGGTCCCTCCCCCGGCCGACCCTGCAGTCGCTGCTCCAGGCGCACGCCCACTCCCTGGAGGAGCTGCACCTCATGGTGGGCCCCGCCGCCCCCGCCGACAGGCCGCAGCTCGCGGCGCGGATCTGGCCCGTCGTGTGCTCGGACCTCGACACCCTGCTGGGCTGGTGCGGCCTGCGCGCGCTGCGGAGGCTCGTCCTGCGCAGGAAGGGCTACTGGCACACCACGGCCGACTGCCTCCTGCAGCGCCAGGCTGTCAGGAGCGCACTGCCCGGCGTCGAGGTGCTCTGCTGCGACTGCGGCGATGCGTGCGGCGAGGGAAACGGCCTGTTCAGTCTGTCTCCCATTTAAAGGCGATTCAATTGTCTGATTTTTGATTTTCTAGCATCTATGCCTTTATTCAAACGATAGAAGCTTTACTAAAATTATTGCCTCATTGTCCTGTAAAAGTGCGTCAACAACAAAGATACGTAAGTTATAGTACGTATCCCTGTCTTATGCTTCTGTTACTCAATGACCCGGTACACATTCTAAAAAATGTCCACCTTTCTCTTTCACTTATTTGTGATAAGTGTTGTACTTTATGTATGCGTTCAATACTCAATTTGTATTTCTACTTTCTGCGCTGTCTGTTGCTCGTGATTTGTTTTAACGCTGCCTATTGTACGTCTATTAAAACAAGCGCTTTGTCAAAATCAGTGCGCCCCCTCCCTTTTTATTTGGTTTAAATACACATGTACCTAGTTTATTTGCAATCTTATTTTTTTATATTTTTTTTTTCAACCTACCATCCAGGTGTAAACGAAGGAATAGTGAGGGGGGGGGAGGTAATTAGCCATTACGAAAATTATCAGGCGCAGCCAGTTTTGGCCTGCATTTATTGGATCACAGGAGCGAATGGTGGTTACCATTATCACATTGTAGAATACTGAATATATATCTGGCCGCCTGCCCAACGCCTTCGCAGAAAACAGAGAGCGTCGATATAATTAACCTTTACGGAATTTAACTCAGCATTAAAACGAAACTGGGTGCCTGGAACGGAGCGCGCTCCATCCGAGCGGGCTGATTTTGTTTACGAGAGACAGCTGGATTCATAGATAATATCATTGTTACTGATTTGCAAAGGTATACGGCCCAATGAGTGTGAGAGCTAGGGAGGCCTGCTGCGCATACAGGATGGGCGATTCGCCCAGGGCGAATGGGAAAGTCGATGCCGCCGGGCGAGGGGGGGGAGGGGTGGGGCCAGACGGCTGAGGAGTCCTCAGTGAGAACAAGGAAGGAAGGGCACAGTCCGTCCGAGTCAGGCGCCAGCTCAGCACTCAGCACCTCTACCTTCAACTCCAGCCAGCAGGGGTCAGTCAGCTGCTCGTGTGCCGTGGTGCGAGGACGTCTCGCGGAACGCGTTTGCTCCCCGTCGCCGTGCTCGCTACCAGCGAGGACGCCCGGGGTGCCACCGCCTCCACGAACGTGAACGACGGCGAGCTCGTCCCGAGAGGAGTGCCAGGTACGTACGAGCGCAGGCGTCTGCAGCCGGACACAGTAGCCGATATGGCGGAGCACAGCGTTGCATATTTATTTAGATCTTGGTTAATTTTTCATTTTTTCTCGCTTCTCTTCACCAGGGACCAGCGAGTACACAAGGACAACGCGCAGCCGCGACGATGGAGCACGCCGGAGACAAGGCTTTCAAGTGTGAAGAGTGCGGCGAGAAATTCGCGTGGAGCGGTAACCTTAAGAGTCACCAGCGGATCCACACGGGAGAGAAGCCCTTCGAGTGCTCTCTCTGCGATAAGAAGTTCACGCAAAGTGGAGGTCTGCAAAGACATGTCCAGATCCACACGGGAAAGAAGCCTTTCGAGTGCACCGAGTGCGACAAAACGTTTGCGGAGAGCTCTTCACTTCGAACACATCTCAGATCCCACACGGGCGAGAAGCCATTCGAGTGTAACTTATGCGACAAGAAATACGCGACGAAAAGTGGCCTGTATATACATATGCGAGTGCACACGGGAGAAAAGCCACACCAGTGCACAGTGTGTGAAAAGAAGTTTGCAAGCAGTGGACAAATGAAAAGTCACTTACGATGCCATCATACAGGGGAGAAGCCCTTCGAGTGCAGCGTGTGCAGTAAGAAATTTGGAACGAGTGGACAATTACGTCTCCATCTTCGTACCCACACAGTTCAGGGAGAGAAACCATTCGAGTGTGCAAAGTGCAAAAAGACATTTTCACGCAGGCCAGCTTTGCGCATACATAGCCGCATCCACACAGGCGAGAAGCCCTATCAGTGTAAAGTCTGCAGTAAAACATTTCGGCACAGTTCAAGTCTGCAGCAGCATAGCCGAACGCACACCGGAGAGAAGCCATATGCGTGTACCTTGTGCGAAAAGAAATTTTCGCGACGTGGGCATCTGAAATCACATCATAGAACTCACACTGGAGAGAAGCCCTTCGAGTGCACGGTCTGCGGCAAGAAATTGGGGAGCGATAGTGATCTGAAAAGCCATCTTCGCACCCACACGGGCGAGAAGCCGTTCGAGTGTACGCTCTGCGACAAGAGGTTTGCGAATACTGGTGGTTTGCGTGCTCACCTTGTCAGCGCCCACACAGGAGAAGTGCGTTACAAATATGAATGCTCCGTATGCAACAAGAAGTGTCGGACCAATTGGAATCTCCGCATGCACATGCGCACACACACGGGAGAGAAGCCCTTCGAGTGCGCCCTGTGCCGCAAGAGATTCAGGCAAGAGTCGTATCTCCGCAACCATCTCCATATTCATACAGGGGAGTTCAAGTGCACGGAGTGCGACGTCAAGTGTGTGAGCGCCAGCCATCTGCGGCACCATCTCCGAACTCACTCGGGAGAGAAGCCCTTCGAGTGCGCCGTGTGCCGCAAGAAGTTTGCGCAAAGTGGTGGGCTGAGCCGGCATCTTCGCACCCACACGGGGGAGAAGCCGTACCAGTGCACCGAGTGCGACAAGGCATTCGCGGGCCGGAGCAACATGACGGCCCATCTTCGGAGGCATTCTTTATAAGACACCGGGCCGTGGTTTTTGGTGCGCCCTTCAAATGTGTACAATTTTGACATTTGTCCCTTTGTCAGTGTTATTTATTATACGATCAAATTATTGTATTTGAAATCATTAAACTTATACTTCAACCAGTAGCACGCGCGTTCTGCATTAGAGAGGGAGGGAGGGGAGGGAGGGAGGGAGTGCTGGTAGCTGGCCATGGGTGGCCCGGGGTGGCCTGCGAGGGGTCCTTCTCTCAATAAAATCAGTGTACACTGTACATCCTTCCAAAAAAATCACGAAAAAAACAGGAAAAAATCATGAAAAATCATGAAAAAATCTGAAAAAAATCAACAAACAGTCAGAAAAAATCACAAAAAATCATGGAGAACGGAAAAATCGGTGTAGTAATTGTGAAGGACTCCTCGGTGTCCTGCCACACCGGCGCCTCGGGTGGCTCCCTCGTAGCCCGATGACGTTTGATGACCCGGGGGGTTGGGTTATGAGGAAGTGCTCGCATGCCGGCCTGCGGGGCAGCAATGTGCGGGCACGACCGCCATAGACTTGGTACCGAACGGACTCCGAAAGGAACAGTGCTCGGTCTTTCTAGGGGTCACGCTGAGTGCTGGCGGCGCCGCGCTGGGGGCGCGG